TTTTTTTTTTTTTTTTTTTTTTACGAAATGTAAATGTCATATGGATTACATTTTTTCGTCCCGCATAAAAATACCGCGAGAGACGATTAATATTGAATTGTAGTAATACACGCTCGGTAAAAATGCTCGGTATCAAGATTTAGAAATTTCTTTCTTTCTTCGATTTCACGATTGAAACAATTCTCTTTCGAGGAGGATTCCCCTTTTCGATTCGTTTCAAGCTCGCACTTCTCTTACACTTATCTACTTATACATATACATATATATTCCTTCCATCTTCCTAACTCGTATTAACGTGTCACATCCTCTTCCAGAATCAGTTCCAAATCAAGGATCTCCTCGTCAGGTAGGGTTAGGCCTTCGCCACCCGCGAAGATCATCGTATGATAGATTCATCCTCGAGCTCGTGCATGCGAGAAGGAAAACTCGGATCGAGGAGTTTCGACCGTTCAGTGGTCGAAGGCGTCGCCGGGGCCCGGCCGATCCAACTCCTGCGAGGAGTCGGCCGGCCGATCGGGCACCAGCAACCATCCTCACGTCCTCACGAACTTGTACACCACGCCGAACACGAGCACGCTGACCAATACCAATACCAGCGCGGTCACCACCTTGGCGAACGCGTTCAATCCGCTCTCCGTGTGCTGCTGGGGCCTCCTCGTGGGCACGCTCTGCTTCGAGGCCAGGCCCCGGGCAAGCGCGGGAAATGCCAAGCTCTGGGTGAAGGTCAGCTTGTGGAGGGACTCCGAGAGGGAGTAGGGACCCACGGAGCCGCGGGCTGCCGCCCTCAGGAGGGCGTATTCCAGGTCCAGGGCGTCGAACATGCTGTACCTGTCGGCCCAAGATACCCTTTTTTTCAATCCGAAAGTCGAACGAAGTCTTTTGAACAAAGATTTGTTAAGAGTTCGTGTTGAGATGTATTTTCAGATTCGAGTTTATGATATGGATAGTAATGGACGCGATTCTATCTATGATTCTGCTTTGCGTGAATACGAGAAGAGGTATCTTCAGTGCGGAGCGTGTGTAATATATAGTGTATATGTATATATAAGGACAGCTCGTTAGCTATTTGTAATTAAACTGTAGAGAACTGTAGAGGTAACTGTAGAGAAATCGCTGGATGATCAAACGAAAACTTATATTATATATTATAATTTGTATCGTTTCAACTCGAGTACCCGACTCGAGAAGGACAAGTTAATTCGCTAAAATCGATGTTAACCAGCATTTCGTGGAATGCGAATCGAATCTATTAAAATAAGATCCTTCCCTTTTTCGATCGAATTCGAATTATTTTCCGCTCGTGGCGCCATCCGAAACAGCGTTCTTTCGTTTTCAAGAAGAGCCGCGAGGGGCGCTCTAAGAGTTTCCATTCCCATGTGACAATTTCGAGCGATATGGCGTCACTTTAGGAAATCAACCGTTGAAGATCGAGAAAGAACGTTATATATGTTACGTGAAAAGCCGGAAATTTTAATTTGAAAGTTCGACGACGGTGAGTTGGAGGAATCGTTCTATGAGAAGAATCGGCAGAAAGACCATTATCTATCCGATTTTTGTTGAAACAATTGTGTAATCTTGTATCTGCTTTACGTATTAAAATCTTGAAAATCTTGGAACGGGGAACGAGACGAATTCTCGAATTGATCCGGAATACGAAGGTTTCGCTTCGTTTGAAAGGTAGATTTCCGTGAAAGGAAACCGTTTGCCCCGGATCACCGGTATACCAGGGACGCGATTAATATCTCGAGATGCATAAATGAAAAAGGAGAGAGCGGTAAACCGGCACGTGTATGTGTGTGTGTGGTGTGTGTGTATGTGCAGTGGCCGTATATATTTGCATGGTGCCAGGGTCGCGCCTTGACACGAGTCAAGATCGACGTCAGACCGTATCAGCCCGAGGGATTATTTCCAGAGCCCGTGGTAATTTCACGGATCGGGAACAGACACGTTTCAGGCCCCCTTCCCCTCTCCAATTCTCCTTTCATACAGGGATCTGGAAATTTCGTGCGAAACGATCGTCGATATCCTCGTCTTATCCTGAGGAACGAGAACGTGAAAACGAATATACAAGTGAGTATGTGTAACGTGAAGCTGTGTGAAGAGGCGAATAAAAATTTTCCGTGACGGACGTGGAAGAAAAGTTTCATCGAAAACGTGCAAGATATCGAAAAAGCCAATCTTGACCAATCGCCTACGTACAAGGCAAATTTCTTTTATTTCTTTCTTTTTTTTTTTCTTTTAATTTCCTTAGCATTTAAATTGCTCAAAGTAACAATCCTTTGCATCATTTCGTACGTAAATAGATAGATTCGGTTTGAATTACTTGAAACGTATGTTGAAGGCCGAACGTGGTGGGTGTGTATTTGGAAATTCGTGGGATTACGTATATTAAGGTCAGCTGTATGTACATTTCGGACACTCGTTATCTATTCCCTTGTATCTCGTTATTATCACGATGATAAAATTCAGAATGGCATTTAGCGTTTTCGAAACGTGAATGGTAACAAAAGCAACGTTAATTAACCTAAAAAAAAAAAAGGATATTATCACGAACGTGTTTAATCTTCTCATTCGTGCCGTACCAATCCCATTTTTTATATATATAAAGAAAATATATCTTTCTCCACGACAACAACACTTTTCGAGGAAGCACTTCGCTTTTCCTTGAAAAAAAAAAAGAAGAAACTATATCATATTTCTAAATTTAATATTTCGAGAACGAAATATCACCTGCTGCTACGTCTCCTGTCCTGCGAGTGCATCTGGGCGTTCGCGGAGCTGGGCATGGAGCGGAGGCTGCTGGTTGTCGAACTCGAAGGGCTGGGCGGGAGTGGGGGCTCCTCGTCGATGGACGTCCTGTCCGGTGTCGGTGGACTCTTAATCCCGGAATTGTGGTGATTGTGATGCAAATGGTGCAACTGCAGCCGAGCGTGGTCCGGATGGAGTAGGCTGGCGCGTCGCGATTGTTGAGGCGTGGCTGCTGGACTAGTGCTTGCCACGCCGCACGGCGAAGGCGATGCCTTTTTTTTTTCGAGAAGAAAAACGTACGTGCAAAATAATCATACGAGCCATTAATTTGAAATAAATGGAATCAGAATTTTTAGAATTAGAGATGGAATTTTTTTTTCTTTGTATCGAAGTTTTAGGATTCGACGAGGAATTCCAAGAATTTGAACACATTGTACAGAATACGCGAATGTCTATGGCTTCGCGGGATTGTTGTTTGTCGGATTCTAGTCGATATTTTCAGTTGATATTGGATCATTGGAATCGATGAACCGTGAATTATTGAACTTTAGAGGTTCGCCTCGAAACCGTTATCGGGTTTCTCAACTTGATGGTTTATTAAATTTTAACTGTCTCCATCAAATTTTGAAATTCAATAGCCAACTTTACTTATCCCTATCATCTAATGGTGTCGTCGAAATTTCGAAATTTCACCATCGATCCCGAAACTTTTTGAATTAAAATTACCAAAATTTTTCAACGTCGTCGAGGCAAAATAAAATTTGTAAAATTAAAAGATACTCTCGATTCAATTTTATCGTTATAATTTAAATGCATAGATACATTTACAAATGTTTCTTCGTTACCTGTATGGACTCGATGCCGCTGTCGTTGACGTTCTCCTGGACATCCGGAAACACGAATGCCTGCGCCTGTCCATCGGCCTCGCCCCTTGGCGAATCGCTCGGCCATACTTGGAGCAGGGGAAGCCCGCCACGAGGCTCCGCGCGAACTTCCGTCACGACCTCGTTGCTCTGCTCGCCCGCGCTCAGGCACAATCGGCCCAGCTCTCTCAGTGGCTTCTGAAGGTACGGTTTAATATTACACATGTACATAATATCTACGACACTTCCTTCCTTCCTTCCTTTTTATAATAACCGATAATTATTAATAGAACGCGATCGATACGATTATGCAATTTTTACAACTCTTGTTATTGTTGTTGTTGTTGTTGTTGTTGTTGTCATCGTGTGACAAAGATTATCAACGAAGGTTAATATTTAACGGCACGAAGTTGACACGAGTGTTCGATTATCGAACATAGAAGATTGATATAGCGTAAAATAGGATGTAGGATAAATAAAATAATAAATTATTATGAATAAATTACGTTTCTTTTTTTTTTTACTCTTTATGAAATATTAATACCGTATTATATTTCCATCGATCAATCCTTCAATTTCGTTGCTAATCCTAGCTTTTATATATATATATTTAATTATTTTGTTTCACGATCATGATGATTAAACGAGCAAACAAACGAATAATCGAACGCGTTAAAGCAACGTAACTCGTGGTTGGTCGATATACATAGGTGTATTAATTGGATCAAAGGAGAATCACAATTTTATTACGTATTATATTACGTTTGCAATTAATTTTTTTGTTCTTCTTATTATCGGAGAATATTATATTAACCGCATCGAAGGCATATATACGAGACAGAGCACGCGAGCGTCTCCTCTGTTTCTGACATAACCGAGTCCAACCGCTGATAACGAGCATTATGTCAGATGCACGTGTGTATAAACGCATTATGCAAACGTTGCGTCCGCGTCACGCGGTCCCGCTTGTCACCAGACTCGAAAACTCGTTACCGGAAATTTCATCGGATGAGAACGACGTTTCCCTCCGTCGCGATTTTCCTGCCATTCGATAAAAACGAATAAAATTAAAATGATTCCAGAGGAGAGAAGTTATATTAACCAGTAACAAACAAATGTCAAAGTTTATTATTCGTATGCAATAATAACGAGCGAGATTTTCATCAGTGGAAAATCCTTGTCGCGAATCGGCTTATCGGCTCTGCGGCCGGTTAAGCGCCTGTTTCCGGTTGTATTCTCGTTGCCCACCGCTCGAGTGACGAGTTTTAATCCAATCCTCGTGAAAATTCGATTGGCGAGCTTCGGACAAGCTAATTTATTCATCGTTTCGACGAATGTTTATCGATGAAACTTGTTTACCTCCCTCGTGTCGAGATTCGCGTATATTCACGTATACACGCGTTGATCCTCATCAACGAAATTATTCCAATTATTTTCCCTTTCTTCGATGCTCGAGGATTGATTGGGATTAAAATTAAAATTTGAAATCGAATCATTTCCATTTGTATTTTTTAGTAATATTATAAATGTAATATATAAATTTAATAATATTAATATAAAGTAATATTAAATCAACTCGGGAGGGTTGAAATTTGAGCATTAAAAATTAAAATAATTTCCATTTTTTAAATAATATTAAATCAACTTGAGAGGGTTGAAATTTGGATGGTAAAGGTAAAGTAATAAGGTAAAGTATCGTAGATTTCCTTTTTCGATACTCGAGAATTGATTAATTAATTGGAAATTAAAAATTGAAAATTAAAATAATTTCCATTTTTTAAATAATATTAAATCAATTCGAAAGGGTAAAAATTAAAATAATTTCCATTTTTTAAATAATATTAAATCAACTTGAGAGGATTAAAAATTAAAATAATATTTTTTTAAATAATATTAAATCAACTCAAAAGGGTTGAAATTTGGACTAAGGTAAGATAAGGTATCATAGATTTCTTTTTCGATGCTCAAGAATTGATTCAAATTAAAAATTAAAATAATTTCCATTTTTTAAATATTATTAAATCAACTTGAGAGGGTTGAAATTTGGATGATAAAGGTAAAGTAATAAGGTAAAGTATCGTAGATTTCCTTTTTCGATGCTCGATAATTAATTGGAAATTAAAAATTGAAAATTAAAATAATTTCCAATTTTTTAAATAATATTAAATCAATTCGAGAGGGTAAAAATTAAAATAATTTTCATTTTTTAAATAATATTAAATCAACTCAAAAGGGTTGAAATTTGGACTAAGATAAATTTGGAATAAGGTAAGATAAGGTATCATAGATTTCTTTTTCAATGCTCAAGAATTGATTCAAATTAAAAATTAAAATAATTTCCATTTTTTAAATAATATTATAAATCAACTCGAGAGGGTTGAAAATTTAGGCAAATAAGGTAAGATAAAGTATCGTAGATATGGAAACGGAGAAAACGGAGTAGGTTTCCATCGATATTTGGTCTCCATTTCGTCTGTCGTTGGGAATGATCGTTACGTTTGATACGTTTATCGGCTATTCGCAAGGGAGAGGCTCGTGTAAAAAAGTGTTATCGTATATTTTGTCAATTGTAATCGCGTGTAACTTTTCGGCGATCTAACTGATTGCACAGTTCGAAAGTTTCAAAATCTCACTGAAACGTGCCGTGCAATCGTGGAATATATAAATAAAAATGAAATTACAAATTACATTATTATACCCAAGGAAAAATGAAAGAACGAACGAATGATTTCGATCTACGTCATAGCTATGACAAATAAATAATAAAAGATGTGCAAAATTTGTACAACTCTTTTAACTCGTTCGTGTTAATAAATTATCAATATAATTATCGAGGATATTTGAATTAAAAAATTTCGAAACTCGAAGAATGAATCGCTTTCTTTCTCTTCGAGGAAATTTAAAGCCAAGATCGGAATAATATTAAACAACCTTCGACGTTTCTAAGAATAACTTCAAAAGTGAATAGAAGAGGGGTATTATTTATCATAGAAAGTAGAGGAGGGGCGTGTTTCCGACAGATCATTATCGATCTCAAATTCCAGATTAGTTTCTTGCAAACTTGATTTCCCTGATGAATCGCAAATGTTTGATCGGCCGACTATATATAATCCTGGGTGAAACTTTATTAGCTCCAGAGAACAAATTAAACACTCGCTTAATCGTAGGTCAAACAATAGAGAGATCGAAGATTTCATTCTCGTGTTCACAAATAAAGAGCCTCTTTAAAAACTTTCATTTTTCATTAATCTTTTTTAAAATTCCTCGCTTCCAAAATTTTCACTCTCGATATCTTCGTTAAAACTATAAGTGAGATAGATATGTTTGTAAGATCGAAACAAAGAATATTGATACAAGGGATTATATACACATATCGATGATATTTTTCGAGGTATAGAACGTCTTCGACCACCACTCGATCGGATTTTCATTAAGGCGTATTTGCCACCAGAGAACCAAGCTCTCTCTGTAACACATTGTCGTTTCTTTGTGACACGATGACGCAGACGTTCGGCTCACGCGAGAATTGTCGGGAACAGTTTAATATTTATCACGGTGGAATAATAAAAGTGCAAAGTTCAAAGAAGCGACTCGTGCGCTTTGCCACGGTCTCGATCCCCCCGTTTTCTTCCAAATGGCGAGGGACCATCGAGGATACGCCTCGATTTCGAAGCATTTCCTTTGATGTATCCCGTTTCCCCCCCTTTTTTTCTCCGGTTAATTCTTATTGCCTCCAGTGCATCCTTTTCAATATCCTGTCTGTCGTCCATTCTTGTTAATGTTTCCTTTCGAAGAAATCATCGTGAAGAGAAAAATTATTTTTTATCCGTCGCGTGGAAAATTTTTAAAATTTTTAAAATTCGACGCACCCACGTATCATCGTTGAAAGTTCTTTTTTTTTTTAATTTTCAAACGGATAGAAGAGAGAGAGGGGAAAAAAGGGTGAAAAAATTGTTCGAGGGATGTGGTGGCATTCTTCGAGTTCGCTGGACGATAAGCGATTCACAACTCGGCGCGATTCAAAGCGGCGACATTTTAATGAGATTATAATGTAAATTTATCGATGCATTTTTATCGTGTTCAGCGATTTGTTTCACGTAGAGAGTATAATTAGTCTGGCCTCGTGTAAAAAAAGCTTCTGGTCAAACGAAAGGCGATGCGAGAGTGGATCGATAGAGCGCGATCAGGAAGCTCCCTCGTAACGGATACTGGATACTTTTTCCCATTTTTTTTTGTGGATCGCGGCGAAAAAGACATAGAAATGAATAGAAAAGAGAGAAAAAGAAATTGGGAACAAGGGAGGGAGANCGAAAGAAAGTGGAGCGGAGTTATCTCTTCCGGAAGAGAAATTACGATGAAACGTTTCGAAACA